GATATTCTAAGCATGCAGAGTCAGGAAGTGTAGAGCCAGGGTCTAAGCCAGAATCGAGGTTATCTGACTCCAAAGTTTGCCTGATGTTTCCAACCTCTGATCAAGTTCCATCTAAAATCAAAGTTGGAAATTCAGTTAGAAGAAAACAAGAGATGCTTCAGAACATCTTCTTCATCTACAATAGTGACCCTTACTACTTGCTAGATCTCAGACTTCTATAATAATTTTATGAACACTGCTCTCCCTAGAAAGAGATGTATATGTTGACAATTGGTGTGCATATACATATTTTAGAAGGATTTCTAGAGTCCTCAAAACAAATGCTAAGAACCTGTGCCCTGAGTGTTGCAGGACCCAACAGTGATGTAGTGAGTAAAACTACCTCCTCGGCCAAACCAACAAATGCTTACAGTATCATATAAGCAATTCCTTAAAAACACAGAATTCACCCCTAATAACAGTTAGTAATAACACAGACTTCATGTTATAAAGATATTTGCAAAGAACAGATTAGCTGATTCTTGCTGGACTTTTGAGTAGGAGTAAGTCAGAGGAGTGTCTAAGGGAGCAGGAAAGAATGTTGCTGGAATGAATGTCAACCATACAGTTGTGCTGAGCCCCTTGGTCATGACCTTGAGGCTCAAGGAATTGGCTCTGGCAGTTCTGAACTGAGTAGCCATTTCACAGACAGCCCACAGCCTGGCAGGACACCACTTTCTAACTCTGCCATCATGACACTGCCATCTGCAGCAGGCGAGCTGAGATGTCTCAAGACCAAATTTATCACACCCGAGATTCCATCCTTACGTAAGAATCACCTGTCGCTGGTGCATAAATTTTAGCACCTAGCTGAGCCAAGGGTAATCAAGATTTAAAAGAAAGAGGCCTGAATAAATATCAAGCAGATTTCCTCTCTGTGGGGCTGAGTTTTGAAAAATCTTTGTGCCCTCATATGCCTCTCAAAGGAGACTGCCATTTTTCTACTTTCAGTCTGCCTCACTACTGTTGAGGGAAGGATGCTCTAAGAGCCATAGGCAATCTGTCTTCTTGGAGGTTCTGCTCAAGCTATGACCTCGGTTTGTTCCAACTTATGTCTGTCTTCACAAGTTTCAGCTTGCTCTCATCATCAGCTAAATTAGCCATAAAGCAGAGCCTTGACTCGTATTACCGAAGCCTGAGAGTAATCAGTACTAGCCCGGAGCTATGCATCACTGTTTCCAAGGGTGCAGACTTAAGAAAAAGTGCAGGAGTGGCCCTTAAATTTATATAGCATTTTGGGTAATCTAGAAAATCCCTTTAGCTTCAGACCTTGGAGGGGAAGTTCAAGTGTGTTGTCTGAAAGCTAACAAAATGCCACTGGAAAGTGACAGAAGGAAGTAGAGTGACGTAGGAGTATTGGCATTGGAATAACAATGAATGGTAGGGCAAGGCACAAGGAGCAAGGGAGACTCCTGGACTTAAAAGGGGCCCAGGGACTTCCCTGGTGGTCCAGTGGTTGAGAACCCACCTTCCAATGCAGGGGACTCAGGTTCAATCCTTAGTCAGGGAACTAAGATTCCACATGCTGTGGGGCAACTAAGCCCTCATTGGGCAACTACTGAGCATACACGCTCTGGAGCCCATACTCCACAACAAGAGAAGCCCCCGCAAGCTGCAACTAGAGAAAGCCTGCATGCCGAAACAAAGACCCAGCCCAGTCAAAATAAAAAATAAAATAAAATTTGAAAGGCCCAAGAAAATTCCCTACAGCTCGATTTGGTGAAATTGGGAAAAATTAAATCAGGATTAACAAATATCTGTAAAGGTTTGAATCTGTGACCTGGGGGCAAATTTTCCCTCCTCTGGGTTTTCATTTGTAAAATGAAGGAATAGGATGAAGGCTTCTTCCTGCAAAAGCATGTCGTGATGGAAGGTAGAAGAAAAGGCCTTTGAAGCCAACAGAATTACTCCTCTGTCCAGGGAAATATAAACAACAATAACTCCATCAGCCTTCAGCTCTGCTTTTGAATGAGTTCTTTGCTTCTGTCTGAGAGGCAAAGTAGTTCATTCCTTGGGGAAAAGTTGAATGTGGAATGGTAGACCATGCCCTTTTCACTCCAGTTTCATTATGTTATTTTGAATTATTATTAATACACAGAACACTCAATATAAGTTAACAAGATTTTACTAAGCGTCTGCCATGTACCCAAGACTGCTGTAGGTCCTCTGGGGTAGATAAAGAAAAACTTTGTGACATGTTCAGGGTCTTCAAGTATCTTGACATTTTCTTAGAGGTTTATATGTTCCATTTTATTTATTTGCTTGTTCACTTTTTTATGGCCATGCCACTGGCATGAGGGACCTTCGCTCCCCAACCAGGGATGGAACCTGTGCCCTGTACAGTGGAAGCACAGTCTTAACCACTGGACCACCAGGGAATTCCTTACATGTTCCATTTCAAAAGCCAAGCAGAAAACAAGCCATTATGTTTTAAAAATCTAATTTCTAAGATAAATATTACTTTTTTCTATTAATGTAAGCAATTGAGTTTGACTGAACTTATTTTTATGCTTTTACTAATACATATTATTGTATTATTTATCTTGCTATTCATGTCTACAAAAAGCCTCACTTATAGATCTTACATTGGCTTAAATTCTGGTTGGATGCCTCTAGGTCAAACACAAATAAAAGTGTTTGAATTACCAAGCAAATGTATACTTGCACATTTTGAAGTTCCACTCAAAGAAATCTAAATGAATCATTTGAATCATTTGGGGAAAGTTCTCTAATTCCTGAGTGTGCACTTTGGTTAATATTTTTGCACATCTTTTGAACACTGATGCTTCCTCAGTTAATGGACTATCATCCTTTGTTGTGTTGTTTCTTTTTTTGGATAGCAAATAGATGGTCAGTTATGTCATCTTCCCCAGACTATCTTGTTTTCCTTTGAAGACAAATCACTAATCCATTTATTGTAAATGATAATCCTCTCAAAAATATGCCTTGGGTGCAAAACAGAACTTTTCAGGCAGTAAAGATGTTTCAAAGGAGGTCTTTCCAATGCAAATTATTTTTGTCATGACTTGAAAGTAATTGTCCTAACTGTTCTGTATGAATATGCCTTTATATACTTTCAATTACATATATTTAAACAGGTAAAAATAATGTAAAATGGCATATCCATTAGTGGAACTTGCCAGTCACATTATATATTTCTAAGCAGTTTATTAAAAAATGTACCAAGAATTAAAGTATATTCTTACTTAAAAAATGATACACTGTACTACCAATTTTTTCTTCCAACAACCCCTAGCTCTATTTTGGGAACTTAGGTGTTAAGAATTGGGTTGCCTATACTCCTTAGTCCATGAAATGCTAAAGCACATTTATGCTCACTGCCCTTATTGTGAGCCCCCTAAGATGTTCAGGGTGACCAACCACCCCAGTCTCCTTGGGGCTGAGGAAGCTCCTGAGACATGGCACTTGCATGGGAAGGCCCCAGCAAGTGGGAAACTGATGGATCAGCCTGTGGATGTTATAACCCCTCTTCAAACTGCAGAAACTGAGGCACAGAGAAGCACAGTGCTCTGTCCAGTTTACCCAGCAAACTAGAAGCCGATGTGGGACTCAGTCTCTGCATTCCAACGAAAGAATGTTCACAACTAGGCAAATCCTGCTATTTCCTCTATACCTTACTTCCGCCTGGACCTGTAAGAAAACCCGTGTCATCTTTCATCTTTTTTGTGTCCTACCATTCCAAAAGTGCTAGGATGAAATAGTGGGTACTAGCAAATAGGGTCCTTTGTCAAAACCCCATATTATTTGAGAGGAACAGCATTGCAGCTTTATGTTTTAAAGAGAATGACAGAGAGACTGAGAAATTATGATGATCTTAAGAAGTTAAGAGGGGAGGAAATATTAGTATAATATCTAATTATATTACATAGTATTATGTATCCCACCAACTACCTCTTGGGATCCCCAACTATCTCCGGCCCTGACTGGGTCATATGTGTAATTTCATGAAACCAATCAACTTAAGGGACTCAGAAAAAATGATCAGGTACCCAGCTTTTGAATTGTAACATTGTAATGGCTAATACTGACTGAGGGCTGACTGTGTGCTAGGTGCAATGCTTAGAGCTTTACATGAATTCAGTCAATCCAGCCTGACGATAATCCCAAGAAGGAGCGACTAATATCCCCACTTTACAGGTAAGAAAAATGAGGCTGAGAGAGGTCAGGTGATTTATCCAATATCACAGAGCTGATAAAGTTTGGAGCTTGTATTTAAACCTAGGCAGTTTGACCCCGGAACAAGTACTTTTAGCATCCACTATATCACTTTTAATAAAAGCATTAAACAGCACAGTTCCCATGTCCAATCACTAAGATAGCTCTTTGTTAGGATAGACCTAAAACTAGCTGGACCACATATTCCTCAGATATACAGTGAGTACATTGGTCTAAAAACATGAGGCTTTCTGGTCATAGTTATTAAAGGATCTGAAGGAAGAGATTTAATCTATTGATTAATTCCACAGTAAGATAAATTGTCCTGCCAAGCTCCTGCTATTTATTCAGGACCTCTATTTCTCTTTCTGGAAATGTAAATAATATGTCCTGGGCTTCTGTGAGAAATGACTGGGTAAAACAATGGGCAACCACTATGCAAACTGTAAAGTGCTTTGTACAATTCTCCCATATGTTAAGGAGCTTCCAAAATAGCAATTTCTTCCAATGCCCTTGCAAAGCAAATGAGACACAGCTGCTAGAACGCTCTGCAAAGAGACAGAAATCCGGCTCTTTAAAACTTTCAAGGGGGAAACACACACCATAAAATTACCCTGAAGATAAATCTTACAAGAAGCTCGGAAGTGTCATCAAGTTTTTCCGTGGTTAATTCTAAAAGAGTGCCAACGTCGCAAAGATCAAGCAAGCAGTTCTTCCATAGAAACCTGGGGGAAACGCTGTTTACTGACACTTGCATAATAGTTAGAAATATAAATTGTACTCACATGATGAGCAGAAGTGAGGAAGCCAAGTTAATGGGTTCTTCTGAGTCTTTTCCAAAGACAAGTCTGTAGGGGAAATAAAGGGAAGACTTGTTCTAAACCAAACAAAAGGAAGAATTCAAAAAAAAGAAAAAAGGAAAGTTAGAAGGATGAGGTGTTGGTAGAATGCTGTGAAGCATTGAGAATGACACAGCACTTGCCAAGAGGCACCAACAATTAAACAATTTTGTTGAAAAAACTCTAATAGAATCAGCATTTCCTGTAATCTCAGAACAAGACGGCACCACTAAAGAAAATGTCCAACAATACATTTGGGGGGCTATGATTTGATGGAAGGTGCTTGGGGGTGGGGAGAATTCAGAGATGAGTCATAGACTCCTAAAATGAAGTGGACTAAAGCTGGAGGAAACTGGATTGAGCCTCTGCCCTTTTCCCTTTTTTCTCCTTCTCTCGAGAGATTTCAGCCCTTCTGCAATCAGCCAAAAGGAACAAGTGAGCTGGCCACTGGGCAATGAGAAATTGTCAAAAAAGTGAAATCAAGTTTCATTTGTAATATAAAATATATACACTGTATAAACAAGTCTTGAGATAGGGAGGAGGAAAGACTTTCCCAGGATCCTTTGCACCTGTGAAACTCATTCCTGCTGAATCCTATCTCCATTATAAAGTGATGTACCAAGGTAGAAGGGTACCTAGGTTATCCAGTTTGGAGGCTCAACAGAATTTTAAGTTCTTTGGGGAAAAAGAAAATCATGACTCCTCTTAGTAATTAATTTCTATCTTTCCATACCCTCTTAGCCACTAACTTCTGTGCAAAAACTAGCTTAAGTTTCTCTAAAGTGATCTTTGTGGACAAGGACAAGTGATTTGGTTTTGCCCATTAGAAAATACGCATGCTACATATATTTTCACATAGGTATTCTCATACTAAACTCCTAATGAAAACCCAGAAGTTTTCCTGTCCCTCCTCAAATGAGAACTTCTCAACCACCCCACCCCCCCACCAAGTTATAGAAAGGAAAACAAAACAAAAACATTTTGATGTCCTGGTATCATTTTTCCTATTTCAGGTGCCCCAGTATAGACTAAGTAGAGAGTTTATAACTGCATATAAGAATAAACAAAAAAAATTAGAAGGTTTAAGAGCTAGAGCTTTGACATTTCCTTACCAACCCCCCCCCCCACCACAAATGTTGGTGTTGATTACTTTTTGTTTTGGATTAATTCTGGTGGCTGATGGTAAAGAATATGCCTGTAATGTAGGGGACCCAGGTTCGACTGCTGGGTCAGGAAGATCCTCTGGAGAAGGATACGGAAACCCGCTCCAGTATTCTTGCCTGGAGAATCCCATGGACAGAGGAACCTGGTGGGCTACAGTCCACAGTGTCACAAAGAGCTGGACATAGCTGAGTAACTAACACTTTCACTTTTCACTTTGAGGTGTAAAATATTGTATTTCACATATTCATTATTGAATTAATTTACTGAATTTACATAATATTCATGAACATAATTTTGTAAGTTGCTTTGCCAGCGAAACTAGTCCTCCTTCATTAACAAATAGAGCTGCTCAGTGTTAATCAATGATTACCATGAAGAATTCTCCAAAAAAGTTGTTAAAACCAAGATACCACCATTTGGTTCCTCTTAAACAAAGAAATTTATTGTTCTACCGGATTTTCTTTTGTTCTGAATAGAAAAAACTTTTTAACTTAGTTGGATATTCTTTTGAGGTCTCTCGTTCTTGCAATTTCAGTATTCCTCTCGGAAGAGAAAGGGAATGTTCTCTTTTTCATCAACCAGACTGATACTAGTTTGAGTATGAAATGCAGCCATATCCAAATAAACTATGTTATAGCTTTCAGGAATGGGAGGAGCTTTTTCCCTCAGGGGACTGGAGGTGAGATTTTCCTTTTGTCTTCAACCACTTAATAATTGTAACTTCCCTGATGGCTCAGTTGGTAAAGAATCCACCTGCAACACAGGAGACCCTGGTTCGATTCCTGTGTCAGGAAGATCTGCTGGAGAAGGGATAGGCTACCTACTCTAGTATTCTGGCCTGGAGAATTCCATGGACTGTATAGTCCATGGGGTGGCAAAGAGTCAGACACGACTGAGCGACTTAAAAAAAAATTAATAACAAAGCATAAACCACTTTTTTTTTCCATACCTATGCTTGCAGAACTTCCTGGATAGCAGATAGAACCTGGGCCCCCGGGAAGCCGAGTTTTAACCCTGGACCACCAAGGGAAGTCCTTTTTGGGGAACCATTTCTACATACATGTTTGGAAGAGTGAACTGAATGCCATGAGATAGCAAAGTAAGCTGCCTCCTTGATTCTGATCTAGCTAGCAATAGGCACCTGGATTTCAGTTGGGTTTTGACGAACTATGCAGTAACTTATATAGTAAGACTGGGAACTTAGGAATCAAACCACACTGTGATTTTGGTGGATTTTGCTCTTTTGTGAGCAGCTTGGTAGATGGGGTCAGTCTTCTAATTTACTTCAAATTTTATAGGGAGCTTTCCTGTGATAGTGCTGAGTCATTTCTCCTCAATCTGTTCATCCTCACAATCGGGTTAATATACCTTATGGTACAGGTCTATCATAAGGACCAAATAAGATGCATACATTAAATGCTGCCTATAGTGCTGTGGGGTTCCCCGGCAGCTCAAATGGTAAAGAATCCATCTGCAATGAGGGAGACCCAGGTTCGATCCCTGGGTCAGAAGATACCCTGGAGAAGGGCATGGCAACCCACTGCAGTATTCTTGCCTGAAGAATCCCCATGGCAGAGGAGCCTGGCAGGCTGCAGTCCACGAGGCCACAAAGCGTTGGACACAACTCAGCAACTAAGCATACACAGCACCTGGGACATAAAAGCTAAATGACTGTTTCTGGACCATGGGACCCCTATGTGGTTCTGTTGCTAAACATTGGTTCTTAATAATGTTAGGCTACAATAACATTCTGTCCTCCTCTTCCTGACCTCCCCCTGGAAAAAGAAGAAAAACCACAGCTAATTAAGAATAGTCAATTAGGGAACTGGGATATATACATTACTGATACTATGTATAAAATAGATGACTAATGAGAACCTACTATATAACACAGGGAACTCAATGTGGTAGAGTTGACCGAAATGGGAAGGAATTTCAAAAAAGAGGGGAAATACATATAAACATAGAGCTGATTCACTTTGCTATAAGCAGAAACTAACACAATATTGTAAAGCAACTATACTCTAATAAAAATTAACAAAGAGAACTGAAGCCAATATCTACAAAATATAAAACTGACCACACTGGTAAGATGGTAGAGGTCATCCATACTGTTGACATGGAGAGCAAGAGATCATTGCAAAAGAAGTCTCAAGGAAATTTCCTACCTACATTCACCATCTGAAAAAAAATATTACAGATATTCATGCACACTGAACTGGCAAATAAAAATTTCTATACAAATAGCCCTAATTTTAAATCAATGTGAAGGTTAGCAGAGCAACAAAGAATGCCTATGCTTCAGACAGAGGCAGTCTCCAGGGGAAGAAGAGTCCCTACACAAAAAGATATTACGTCTCTATTCAAAACCTCAGTCAATTCAGTTCATCAGAAAAAGCCCCCAAAAGAAACAGTTATAGCATACTTTTCATATTGTGTTTGGCTTTGCTTTATTTTCTGAACAAATATGTGTGGAAGCATATATGTGGGCTTTATTTTCTTTTGAATCCTTTTTGGTATTTTATGAGATAATGTTGGCTCTTCCCTTACGGAGAAAACTGAAACAATTAAAAGGGATTTTACCCACAGTCTCAATACCACACTTGCCACAACCCATCAGCGCTACTCCCCCCAAACTTGCCTGTTACCACTGATGAAAATACCTGCTTTCCTGGACACTGAATCTTCTACCTGGATCTTAGATATTATCACTGCTTGCCAATCCAATGAAATTTCTTAAGGAGCCCTTTCTACCTTGCCTAAAACATTAATCTGTCCCTCTTTACTGGATCATTTCCAGCAGCACACAACCATATTGTTGATTCTCCCACCCCACACAAATACCACCACCGCCAACACACCCTTAGCTGGACCCCACTTTCCTCACCTGCTTCCCGCCCATTTCTCTGCTTTCTTTGGCAGGAGCTTCAAAAGTTGTCTTTCTTCGCCATTTCCAATCCTTCTTCTACCATTCTCCCTTATGCTTAGACTAGACTTTAACCATCACCACTCCACCAAACATGTCCATGTTACAATTCTTCAGTTGTGAAACTCAACAGTAAATTTGGAGTTTTCATCTCATTTGACCTATCTGCAGCATTTAACTCTATTTCTCACTCCCCTCTAACTGGTACATTTCCTTCTCTTGGCCTTTTAGGACACCATTCACTCCCAGTTTCCCTACTTGGATTGTCACTCATTCTCAATCTCTCCTTCACTGGATAATCTCATTCAGCCTCACAACTTTCAATGCCATTATGCTGGTGACTCCTTCTTTAACCCAAACACATGCCACATACTTTCATAAGCCCCACATGTGCATAAGCAACAACCAACTCTACATCTCCCATCAGGTATCTAGTAGTCATTTCAAACTCAGTATGCCCAATTCAAGATCCCAACAGTCCCCACACATTTGATCTTCCTATAGCCTTTTACCTCTCAACTGACAGCAATTTCATCATTGTAGCTCCTCGGGTCAAAACCTTTATTTCTTTTCCTTTGACATTCTCCATCCAATCTACAGTGAACTCCTATTGAACTTTAGTTTCAAAATATATACAGAACTGAACTGCTACTCACCATCTCTAGTGATCAATAACCCCATGGCCTAAGCCACATCTCTTGCTTTGCTTACTGCATAACCTTGTAATTGGCCTCTTAGCTCCTTCCTAGTCCTACTCACTGTATTCTAAACACAACATCTGATCAGCTCCTTTTTTGAAAGTCAACATTTTGTAGTGACTCTTAGTTCACTCAGATTAAAGCCAACATCTTTTTCAGTGACCCACCAGGCCTTATATGGTCTTGACCTTACCTCAATGTCACCCTCCTATCTACCACTA